ACCTAAGGGTCGCGACCCAGTCTTTGGAAAACAATGGTTTAATGCATACGTGTGTGTGTGTTGGAAAATATTGTTATTGCAGGGACGCACTGTCATTTTGGGGACAGGTCTATGCCTAGTGAGTCAGGATTAGAATGAGGGTCAGACTTAGAGTCACTGAGTTTGGGTTAGCATCAGGATTAGCTCTATGTAGGGCTATGAGAGGATATATTTAAAAAAAACAGTCTTTTAGTGTGTGAGTCTGAGTCTGTGTGTGCGCGTGTGTGTGTTTAATGGGAATAAAAGGCCCTGAACTGCGGCGCGACCATTGAAGCATGTTGCGTGTGCCGTGCAGTCATGTGCCTGTGAAGGGCGCGGTGATTGGGCCGGGGGAGAAAAGTGATGGTGGTTTCTTTGGCAACTTCGTAGAACTTGCATATATAAATATCTTTGAAAGCCACATTTGGGGAGCCAGTCAACCAGCTAACCAGCCAGCCAACCAGTCACGCAGACGGCCAGACATTCCTCAACACTCATTTCCCCCCACATTTCTTCCATTTTCTCCTTTAACAACTGCAACTTTGATATCAACACACTATCTGTCTGGCTTTAATAAGCCAAGGGAAACATGCTGCAGGATAACAAGCACTTAAGGATAGGTCACTATTACTTATGCTCTTTGAAGTCGACTTTTTCGCAGTAAAATACAAATCCCTTTCATTAAATCATTTTATTCCGGGTTATACTTTTTCTTTAACTGCTGCTGCTGTGGTGGTGAACTCAGCAGAGCAGCGTGTATTTTTGTGTCCTTGTGAACTTGTAAAGGCAAAAACTGAAATGTTTTCATCTTTTTTTTAAATTTTATTTACAGACTCCCGTTAGCATACTTGCTATTTACTTAAGGCTAGACTATATTTTAAACAGCGTCAGGGATGCAAAAATAGTGCAGTAGAAAATTCTGTAAAAAAAATGCAAGTGTATTGACTGTGTATTAGAGATGATTAATCTGATTAATCTGAGAAATTAGTTGATGTATTTTTTGCCAGCCTTAATAAATACATATACACATACACATACTGTGCAGATATAGTATAGTATTAGCCGTGTAGACTCAGTGCAGCACAGCCCCCTTGTGGACATACAAATCCTGGTTAGTGTTGGTTATAATTACAAGTAGCAGCAGCCATAATGAAAATGTACCCACGTAAGATAAACCCCCACAAGGTTCCAGAGATTTCTTTAGAAAATAGCAGATAATGTTTCAGTTTGCAGAGATGTCTCCCTAAAAAGGGAAACAAAAAAAAAATCTAAACTCATATTGCCGCATGATTTATGTCCACCGTGAATCTCTCTGACGTTGATGACCATTAAGGGGTTTAGGGTGCATCAAAAATAAAGACTGTGTTGATGATACCCAGTGTATTTTATCAAAGGAAACGCACTTGAAGCTTTAAAGAGCTATTACACATTTTTCCACTATGCTGTTTGACATTGTGCAGTGACACAGACGTTGAAATTGGCTGCTAGTCATAAAAACTCCACCAAAAATCGGAGGCAGTTTTTTTTTTTTCTCACTTCTGTGCTTATATTTATACTCAGTCACTCTTATCAAAGAACGTCTGGAGGTTTTTGGGGGTTCCTTTCTAGGTATTTAGGTTTCTGTGTCTGTGCCTGCCATGAAGTATTATTCAATGACAGTCAGAATTGCTGATTGTTCTGGAGGTTTTTGGGCTCACACACACATACACACATACACACACATACCAAGAAAAACACAAACACTTCCTTACACCCTCATACATACGAGCACACACACAGAGAGAGAGAGAGAGAGAGAGCCAGTCTGGCAGAGCTAATCCTCGCAGCAAAGTTTCTTACTAGTCTTCCTTAGGACATTTTTAGTGTCAGGGTCCCTTTGCCCCGAGGGCAGCAGCCTATCATTCTGCCTGTGGGGCCAGAGCCGACCCTCGAGCCTGGAGGGCAGATGCTCCTCTTCACCGTGCCCCAGCCATCCATCCTCCACTGCTGCATTAATGATGAGCTCCTCTGCCCTCTGGAGCTCTCCAGCTGCCTCCACACTACTGAGGGCTTCTGCTGTAACAGTGTGCAGCCAAAAGTTGGACTGGAGTTTAGCAATGATAGCAATAAGTCGAACCATGAGTTGGTAGGTATGTATGTATGTATATATGGATGGGTGGATACATAAATGGACAAACGGTGTCCGAATATGGACAAAGGATGCAGTGCAGGTTCCTGTTTGTGTAGCAGGCACGGTCGCTGGAAAGCGTGTGAAATCAAACCGAGGGTCACAGATGGAAAATGCTGATGTGCAACCTGCCTGTTTTTCTAACACCACTCATCGGGACCTGAAGAAAAACTCAGCTGCGTATCACCACAAGGTCCGGGGGGAAAGGAAAAAACTTCCGAAGGGATTTCTGAGGAAACAAAGCTTTGAGCTGCCTCTCCGTCCAGCTGGAAGGCTTCCCACTGATGGAAAAATAAAGAACACTGTATTCTGAAGTGCATAAATGCAGCTCCGTGGTCTGAGAAAGTCAACTTGGGAACGCACTGCATTGTGTGAAAAGATGACGAGTGATGGTCTTCTCCGAGAGAATGTTTGTTTCCAGCCAAAAAAAGGACCTGTGATCTACTCAGGAGCCTCAAACTCTGTATTTCAAAAGTCATTAATCAAGGAGAGAAAAATGTTCTTATGAAATAAATACCAGACGCAGAGAAGTTTGGGGAATTAGCGGTCGCCAGACATTAACAGGTGATAATTGCATTATTGTAGTGAGGAGTAAATTAGCATAGCCTTACACAATAATAATATAATTTTAAATCATAATTTAAGTTATAATTAAATGTTTTAACTTACATATACCAATAAAAAATATAGAATTTATTTGGGTAACATTATTGTTAAATCATTGGAAATACATGATTTTTGTTTGTACTTTTTTAGCCTTACATTCTTAATTTTATGTCATCTAACTTGTAACAGTTAAAAGCAGTGAATTAAGTAGTAGAAGAATTGATATTATTAGAATAACTAATCACCTCAATCATTTTGAAATGCCCAAACACAAGTTTGTAGAGACGCCTTATCATCAGTAGACTGCCGGCTGCTATTTTCACCCCAGAAAGAGTGGAGTAAGAGTTTCAGGTCTGGGTTTCTTTCCTTTTTTTTTAATACGACCAAAGTTGAAGAGTATAAATGTTACTGCTGTACTTCGATTGACCTACACGCTGTGGTTGAGGGCCTGTGTAAACTGTATCCTCTCTAGAGCCTGGAACACTCCTCGACTTTCAAAACAAGCAGGGTTTCCTCTTGAAATGACTGATAGTGGTCAGAGGAGGGAGATTAGTCCAGATCAAATCAGCAGCAAGTGGGTGGATATGACTTTATTTAAGAGCTCACGTGAAGAAAAGTGGAAAGAAACAACTACTGTAGAGAATAAGACACTGCAGTGGAGAAATAGTTGAGGAGATCCAATAAAAATTGGAAGTCTTGGATTGGAATTGGTGATTTTAGAGAAGGAAGTCTAAGTACTACAGGGATTGGTATACACACAGTGTCGATTTAAAAATTCAATTACAAATTAAGCCGGGCCAGATTTTCAAACAAAAGAAATGTGAAAAAAGAATGCTAGCGGGCAGCATCACAAAGTTTCACTGCAAAATGTACTAATAGTTGATGACCTTTCTTTGATGTTTGTCTTTTTTTCTACAAAGAGTGAGTAAGGATGTAAAAGAGCCAACGTTCGAAGCAGGGATGAAAATAAGAAGCCAGGAGAGAAAAGGATCCACTGGAATATTTTCTTCCCTTCTGTCAGTAAAATTACGCTCGAATGACGACAGTGGCTGGGCTTGTGAGCTGCACATGAGCATCCATAACCTGATTTGTAGGGAGGAGAGAGAGCGTAGTTTCTGGGCAGTGAGCACAAGTTTGCAGTTACGGCTGCAGCCAAGCTGGGCTAATGCTGTCTGTCTTTCAGATTCCCGGTGCTGTTTTGGGCAGAGTGCCTGGAGACTGAGCTGTCAGGGCCTTGCCTGAGACGCCAGCCTCTTTCTCTCCATCTCTCGCCCACCCGCAATTTCTCTGGCTTCCTCCATTCCTTCCACCTCTCCCACTGCCCCTGCCGCTGCCGCTGCCGCAGCCCCATCAGTCGGCAGGCCAGCTCTGCTCCCCTAACTTCTGTTTTGACAAGTGCTTTAGACATAATGTCACAGCGAACCCCCTGGCCGGCCAAAAACGCTAACAAACCATAACATTAATTAGTCGGCAGGAGAATGGTTTTGGAAAAGGTAGCCCGAACAGTGAGCGGCGCTGGTGGAGAGACTTGGACACTCTTCTGATTGACTGATGGAAGGGCGAGAGGGGAGGTAGATGGAAGGTCACGGCGGAACGTCAGGGCTCCATTCCCCACTTTTATGAACAAGGAGGTGAAGGTCAAAGCTTTCAGGGGTCTGGATTAGATTTCATGTGGTACCAGCCTGGTCTGCTCTCCCCGCTCCTCATCTGTGATACCATCAGTGTCAGTAAGACAACGTCTCCCCTGACCCTTTAATGGTTTGATCGCCTGTGTCCCCACAACATTTAATAAAACAAATAAAGTTCCTTCTCCTGTTACTGTTAGGGGTTTTGGTTTCCTGTGGGTGCTGACACAGAGAGTCCTTTTTGGCTAACGCGACGTAGCTGCCAAAAAAAGACGGATACTGTTTAACTGTTATTGAATAGCAAGAATATTGTTAATAAATGACCAATAATTCATGCTGGCTGCACGGCATTAGCCCCGCAGATGGTTAAGGTATTACTGTGAACATTAAAAAACACCTGATCCTGTATATGTGACTAATAAAGCAAATACTTGTCGTCTTCTTGGGAACTACCTTCATTTTCCAGCGAACAACAATATGTAAATCTGTTTAACTTTCCAGAATCCTCAAGTAGGACAGATATTGAATTCCGGTTGTTTATATAAAACATGTGAAGAGAGGGGGTATTTGGGGTGGGGGGGGAATGCCCCGCAGCTGCACTTAGATCAGCAACACATGCTGTCAACAGAGTCATGACAGTCTTATTGGGCCCTTTCAGCCACATGAGGACGACAGACTCCATCTCTGAGCGGCTACATGATGCCTCACAGAATTCAAAAATTCATCTGGCTAGCAGAGGAGCTACATTTCCAACCCCTGTAAAATCATCTTCGCGGGCACATCAACTTATTTGCTTAGATTGGCTCGGAGCAGTCGGCGAGGGAGCGGGAGCGGCAGACAATGCAGGCGATGCACTCAGTAATATTTTTCTTTCATAATGTGCCAAAAATGAGGGGAAAATACATTTTTCACATGTCAGAAATGTCTTTTGAAAATATACACGGGCCCATGCATCCAGAGACATTAAAGTGGCTGGGTAACAGCTCGCAGCTTTTAGAAGCGGTGCATGCGAGCAGAAACGCAGTCTGTGGAACTGAAAGCAGGTTGTGTGTGTGGTTTTCTGTAACACGTTATACATCAGTGTGTGACGTTACAGAGTAAATGTGATTAAGCGATGGATATGATGTGTTTAATGTTTAAAGCTGCTGGAGGTTTGTACTTGTGGTTTGGTTAAATGATATGCAACTGCTACCAGACTTTATTGCTAATGGCACTGATTTTGTTTCCAAATGAGCCTCAGTGTCACCCGGTTACTCCACCAGCAACATAAACTGCCATCATCGGCGGCTCAACTGTTTAGAGAAGAGGCATTTATCTAAATCACGGCTAATGCTTTCACAATATCGCACATTCAAAGCATGGTGTACAACCTATGGCTCCTGTGCTACATGCAGTTCAGACCAAACTGCTATTCAGAGCCGAAAAGTTGCTCTCACTCTTT